AAAAAAAAAAAGGAAAACCTTTCCTCCCTTTTCCTCCCTCCCACTCTATTTTAATTCCTGTAGCAAATGAATCCCCTGAGAAATAAAAGAAAACCAAAAAGAGGGATAAAAAGAAGGCATCAAACCAAAGCGTCATAAAAAACCAAACCAAAAGAACTGAAAACTGGAGAGAAGGCAGAGAAATAAATGTATAATTAAAAGATAATCAAAAGCTTTTTTTATTGAGCCTATTAAATGTCAAATGTCACAAAATGCACAAAATCATGAGAAAGAGAATTACCTGAGAGGATTGGTGAATTAGTTAGACATCACGATTTTGTACCCCAAACCCAAACATATGATTCTGTATTCAGAAGGAATAAAACCATGAACCAAAAAAAATAAAAATAAAGCCAGACTAAGCATCCAAACAGATATATCACTTAAGTGGTGTAATGAAAACACAGAATAAACAATTATTTCAATGTAATCGGTTTTGTTGAAAGCAGCTCACCAATTCCTCTGCAAGCCTCCTGCACTTTGGGAAGTTGAACCCCCCTTGAAGACCTACAATGTTAACAATTCACATTAAGGAACGAAAGTAAAAAAAATAGCCATTTGAACGAAATTTGAAACATAAAGATTGCATACGTCTTTATTTAAAACCAATCTCAATACATCAAGATTGCATACGTCTGCTTGAACATAAAAGCCTCGAGCTGCTGTCTTCTTTGTCACCAATTTAACTATCAAAGAAACAAATATCAGCATAAAAAGAAACAAACCTCTAAAAAGAGAAGAAACACAGCCACAGCCAGTAAGTCCTTTAGCAGTTTTCCTCCCCTTGAACTCCCTCCATCTCTATCATCCTCATTTTGCTTTTAATTCTTCTACCAAAGGAATCCCAGGAGAAAAAAAAGATAGAAGGAAAAAAATCATAGCATAATCTGTATACATGCGGTCCTCCTCGTCTTAGAACCCTTTCACCCCGTTCACCTTCCTGGCTTGGGTTTCATATCACAGTCATGGCCAAAAGAGATGTTCTCAGCTACCAACTGCTCCACATAACCAAGTGAGCAGGGGTTGCAATATCCACAATATACAACATATACATATATATCTATATAATAGTAGAAATATAGCAACAGTAGTCATTGTCATCAGTTTAAGACAATCTATAAGTTATGGCAAGTTTAAATCTCAATTATATATGAAGAGCCAACAATACACAAAAAGAGGGTTGCATTTCCTCGAATGCAGTAATGTATATGGATGAAACTATTTTTCATTCTTACAAAAATGCAATCATTGCAGCAAACATAAACAGATTGGCAAAAAAAGAAAAACAACATAAACAGATTGCTTCTTTATATAACCTGAGAAGAGAACCAAACAACGCACTCAGTAAGGAAATAACATAATAACAAATACACAAAATTTGTGATGAAAGAATAACAAAACCCACCATTTCATAAAATGAACGACCAAGGAACAAATATGAGACTTGTTGCAACATCTCTCTGTTTTCTCTTCAAAGTATTCTCTGCAAAAGAGTGAAGAAAAAAAAAACTCCACCATGTCATTTGAATTCGTAGAACAAAACCAAATACATTTTATCAAACACCTACCCTGCGAATTAACCATGCGAGTAAACACCTACCCTATTCTTGGAGTTGCAGCAACTGTTCTTGAATAATCAAGAATCCAAATATAAGTTGAATAACCAAACTTTCATTCATATCTTAAATTTCATACCTACCATTTCATATAGCAAATAAAAATCAATCCGATAAATGGTGAGCATGCAGCAAAAGGAGTAAGTTTCTCAAAACTCTCTTACCCACTGTAATTTACCGTTTCATTTGGACATGGGTCTGATATGAACACAAAAGCCATGAGAACCGTTCAACATACACGATAGAGAAATACGGAAAATCATCAACAAACACCTTTCCTCTAAAACCTTCTCTGAACGTGAAAGATCTCAAAACCCAATCAAAGAAAGAATATAATACAAATAAGAAAGAAAGATCTGTTAGGCTTACCACCTTCTAAAACTTTCAGTTGAAATCATAGGTGTTTAATTCTTGGAGATGCTGGGAAGTAACCCAATTAAATGAGAAATTTTCTGAGGAAACCAAAACAACAGTAAAAGAGGGATAAAAAGAAGGCATGCATCAAATTAAGCGGGGAAAACCTGGGAAATTGGTGAAGCTGGCAAGGAGCGTTGTGGTTGTTCCCAGCCGTGGTTCTCTATTTTTCTGCTCCTCTTTCTGTTTTTCACATTGTAAGAAGAAAGGCCTATGATAATTGGGTTTGAAGGAAGTGGGGGGCAAACTGAAAGGAACTGCTACTGGAACTGCTCTTAGACACGATGAGGCCGAAGAAACTGATAAGAAGAGCAACTGCTCTGGAGTGAGGGTCTGTACCTTTTTTCTTTTCTTTTTAATTTTTTTTAAGTTATGCGTAATTGTTCTTTTACAATTATATCCTGCTTTAATTAAAATAAGTGCGTTTTAATATTAGTTTACCAAGGATATTTTCGGGGTTTTTGAATGTTTCACATTCTCTGCCTTTTGCTTTATATATATAGATGAACAAATTGAGTAATGAAAAGTGATTAGGAAGAAAATTAGAGAAAGAATTGATGAAATTTGTGAGAGAATCACAACTGAAGAGTTTTTGGCAGGGAAGAAAATTTGAGAAAAAGGCAAAAATGAGGGAAGGATCAAAAGTCGTGAGGAAGAAGAGAACAGGAAGAAAGGAAAAAACAAGGACGGGATGGGAAGGAAAGGTAGAAGAAAAGGAGAAAAAGGAGAAAAAAAGGAAAAAAAGAAGAAGAGATAAGATAGTTTAGCTTTTAAAAAATATTAAAATTTATTTGTTTTATTATTATTTATTTTTAGGTCAAAATCCTTAATTAAAAGTAAATATCAAATATTAAAATAAATATTAGAATTTTATTTATTTATAATTAAAATTAATTATTAAAATAATTATTTTTTACTCCGACACAACTCCAAACATAGGTCTGTATTATTTTTACAATCCAGCTTCTTAGTCCGACGCAGTACCAAACATAGGTCAGTACTTAATCCAGCTTAGTACAATCCGAATTAATCCAAGACAGTCTCAGGATTTAATCCAATCCTTGACAGTCCGCCGTACCAAACAACCCCTTAGGGTTAAAGATGTGATAATGTGGTTATTGACTGTTGTCAAATAATTTATATCGATATATTATTGCTTTTGGATGTAGGCCTCTCTTCTTATAGAGTCCACATCACCATCCTTGTCTCAGAGTGATATCTTTACAGATGCTTAAAAAAGAAATTTGAAATTATTTTTATTGGAATTCCTTTCTGCAGGGGTCGCTGAAGTTGCAGATGGTTCTTCTAATGGCCGAGAGGTATGGAAGCTTTCGTTTAAGTAGGCATGGAATTCATGTGGATCAAACACTGTGCTTATTTTTTTTATTTCTCTTTTTCAATCTCCTCCCCTGTGGCCACCAATTTGGCCACTTACCTCCTATATGAAGAATCAAATGTTGTAATCGAAATTAGAAGAATCAAATGTTGCAGTTGTTAGTCTATATGCAGACAAGAAGGATGTAGAGAATATTTGGTCATTAGATAATTTCTCTTCTCTAAATTATAATTTGACTGGATGCTGAATTTGTTGTGTTGCAATTTTCATTGAATATAGGTATTGTAACACTGAAATGACAACAAATATCGCTCTGATGTGTCAATATAACATTGTGCCGAATCGTAAATTCTTGATATCTCTTCATTCTTGAACATACACTATGAACTAAGAGCAGTGTAAAGATTTGGATGTGGTTGAAAGTTCATGGGAGAGTTAGTACCTGTGAAAAGGATCCTGTTCCTGTTTATGGATCCATCAGTGTGATTAAGAATATTGAATGTATTTTTCAGCACCAAGGATCCTATACTTGTTTGAAACCACTTCATTTCATTAATATTGCTTGGTCATACACCAATGACATAATTAGCAGTTAAAAGATTTTACAGGATTGTAACTAGTTCTAGCAGTTAAAAGATTTTGCAGATACAACATGCCTTTTAGGATGCAAACTTCGCAAAGCTTTTAGGGTTTCCAAATCAGGCATCACCCCTTGTTCGATCATTTCCTCAACGAGCCTCAAAGCTTCACCTATCCTTTTAGCTTGCATATAGCCGTTGACCAAGGCTTTATAGCAAGAAGCAATATCAGGGACACGATCTTTTGTCACCATTAAATCAATAACCTTCTTTGCCTTATCCATTTTGCCAAGAAAACAATAACCATCAATTAGCATACTGCAAGTTATTTTGCTCAGCACCATACCATATTTAACTTTGGCCTCAACTACTTTATGAGCCTCTTCTGGCATCCCTCCTTGGAAGAGAGCATCCAAAAGTATTCTCAAAGTTATGATATGAGGTAAGACTCCCTGAACTACCATTTCATCAAACAACCTTGTCGCTTCAGCCCATTGATTTATACGGCACATGCCATAAATTAGAGAGTTGTAAGTGAAAACGTCAAGCCTCATACCTCTTTGGGACATTAGCTCTAACACGGAGAGCGCTTCCTTGGCCCGTCTCTCCTTGCAAAGAGCATGTATTACAGTGTTATAGGTTACAACATCTGGTGCAATTCCTTCATCCAGCATTCTATTAAACAACCTTGTGGCTTCTTTCCATTGCGCGGAATGGCAGAGGCTATTAATTAAGGAGCTGTAGGTGACGACATCAGGCTTTACCCCTCTACGGAACATTTCTTCCACAAGGTTAAGTGCCTCTGCCGTCTTCCCTTCCTTGCACAAAGCATCCAACACAGAATTGAATGTAACAATATCAGGGAAGGCTCCACAATCAATCATGTTTATAAATAGCAGCACAGCTTCTTCCCACTTACCAGACTTGCATGAAGCACCAATTAAAGAATTGAAAGTGAAAACATTAGGCTTTATGCCTTTGTTTTTCATGATTTCAAACAGAGCAAGTGCTCGTGTCCAAAGACCCATGTTGCATAATCCATAAATTAATGAATTGTAATTGATGATATTTGGTGCAACACTTTTGTTGATCATATCTCGAAATAGGGTCAGCGCCTCATCTATTCGTCTTTCGTTGCATAAGCTGTCAATGATTGGATTATAGCATTGAGGGACAGGCTTAAACCTTCCATCTTCAAACATTTGCTCGAGTATCTCAAGCGCCATACATGTTTTCCCAGCTCTGCACAACCCATTAATTATAGTAGCGTAAGTGATTTCACTGCATGCTAATCCTTTCTCTTCTATTTTCCGGTGTAACTCCATTGCCTCAGAGAGCGACCTATACTTGCAAACCCCATGAAGCAAAGCATTCAAAGTATAAGCATTGGGCTGAAGACCATGTTTAAGGATAGTTGCTAAAACAGAGAAACCTAAGTCCACCCGATTCATACGGCACAAGCAATTGGTAACAACACTCAGTGTACCGATTTCCGGGTGTAAGCCAACAGAAGCCAGTATCTGTTTATACATAGAAACTACAGTGGAACACTGATTCATCTTGGAGACTGCCCCAAGCAAATGATTAATAGCCCAAATCGAGGGAATGGGTTTCATTTGAATTACGGAATCGAAGTGACCCAGTGCTTCATCTAACCCAAGATTACCAGATTTACAACGCATTTTTACCAAATCCTCCAAATCAATGGTTTCCTTAACACTAACAGTATGACAACGATGGACAGCTAAAGAGCAAAACTGGCTTCTGAAAAAGACGAGCCCAAACAGAGAATAGGGAGAAGAAGGATTACCTTTTTGGAGAAGCGTGAGCCCTGGAGCTTTTTTCGCCATAATTTTCGTCATTATCGACCAGCTCCTAAGGCAGAGCAAGCAATTCACGAGCTGTGCTCTGTCAGAGAGGGTTTTTTTTTGGGTTGAAAGGAATGAAATTTCATTGTCAAAATAAAGATAAAAACAAAGATACAACTTAGAGCACTTCCACCCCTTGCAATTTTGTTTCCACCCCTTATTATAATTTATTTTCTATTTTTTATACTTAAATAATTAATTTTGATAAGATCTTCGGTTACCATGTGTCACTATTTATTATAAAATTCTCATCTCAAATTTCAGATAAAATTTTTGGATAAAATTTTCCAATATTAAATTTTAAGATAAGATTTTCAGTTACCACGTGTCCATATTTATTATAACATTCAGATCTCAAATTTCAGATAAGATTTTCGGATAAGATTCTTGGTTTCCACGTGTCGATATTTATTATAAAATTATAATCTCATATTTCAGATAAGATTTTTACCCTCTAAAATTGTGTCACGCGTCATCTTTATCATCTAAATCCCTCTATAAAACTACACCCTCAACTCAGACCTCTCACAACATATCCTCTCTAGCCTTTCATTTCTTAGATTTTACAAAACACATTCTACTCTCAATGTCTAACCTAAGGAGGGTGTTGGAAAGGCAAGAGCGAGAAGATGAAGAAATCAGGTGCAGATGTGCTGAAGAAGATTGTGAGTTTGTTGACCAACGCGAATCTCACGGCCTGGTGCTCCGGGCTGAAGGGATCTGTGTCAACACGGGTCGTCCTCCTTTGGTGTGGTACGGTTGTGCGCGGGCGTGCCAACACGATTTACCGTGCGTTTGAGGGTGAATTGATTGGGGAAATAGATGAGTGGTGCGCCTGTTTGAGTTTAACTTCTAATCAAAGCGACTGTGGCCGAGAGAGGAACTGATCTCGGCCGTCAGGTTCACGGCCTGAACTACAAGGCCGTTGATGGTGGGTTTTTAGGTGGTGCTCCGGCGCGTTGCTGGCCGGCAACGGTCGTATGATATATGAGATGAACGAAAGAGTAACAAAGATGGTGCTCCGGCGCCTTGAAAATCAAGGGTCGTATGATATATTAATGAATGGATTTTCCTACAAACTGTCACTACTCCTAAGAAAGCAAGTAAAAGTATTGAAAATGCATTACAAGAAGGTAAATGACAGGAAGTAAATGACAGGAAAATATAATCTGCTCCGTGGGAGGCTTGTGTTTGGTGTTTGAACCCTTTAAATGTAGTTGGAGCCTGGTATTTATAGGGAAGGTCTTGAGAAGACAATAAGGCTGAAAATCTGCATGGTAAGGTTGATCAGAGCTAGTGGGTAGTCGAATTGACATCTGGGAATGCGAAGTGTGGTGGTGTGACCCCCATAAACCCCGGCCGCCGCCCTGATTGGTGGGCTCTGCGTCTCGGGCCGTAAAGGAGCATTTAATGCCCTAGTCTGATGGTTGGTGACTTAATCTTACAAGTCGTGAGATTTTCGCATCTAATCCCTGGTTTTACTCGTCATATCCTGACTTCAATCACGTCCCCTCTTTCTTGGCTCATTAAATGCTCCTACGTGGGTCATGGGCCTTCTGCTGTAGTCAGAGGCGTTACTTCATTAAATGAAGCGTGGGACCTTAATGCCGCGTGGCGACGCCACTTGACCCTCCTACCTTGGACGTGTATCTGAGGAGTTTGTCCTCAGCTAGTATTACCGAGGCCGTGATGACTTTGCCTTACAAGCTCTCCTTTGTTTTTAAAAGGAAACGAACAATGACTTGTAACGTTCGGCCATGGGTAGGCGCTAGGGCCGAGAGGAAGTTCCCTTGGTCAGCTTCCTTGGTCGAGATTTATTAGGCACAAACAGAGTTGGATGAAGTTGGTTTAGTAGTGGGTATGCTCAATCAATCAAGGCAACACCACCATGATCTTGTCTCGAACATGGACAGACGTAGGCACTCTCGGGATAAGAATCTCTAGGAATATTACTTTATCCCAAATTTATTGCATCCTATTTCTTATTTTCGAGGGAGATATAGAATGCAGCCCCATTTATTCAAAAAAAAAAAAAAATCATGCATGATGTTTGCAATTACGACACATACTTCATTCAAAAGTACAATGTTATTGAGGTTTTGGGTCTTCTTCGGAGCAAAAACTTACAGCTGCTTTACGGATGCTTGAGTATGGGGTATCTGCAGACCAGGTGGATGAGATTGCTAGGATGGGGAAATTAACTATCCTAAAGTGCTTGGTCAGATTTTATGATGCAATAGAAACTCTCTACACGAGGAATTACCTCCGCAAACCTACGCCTAGGAACCTCCAAAGGCTTCTACAAAGAGTGAGGCTCGAGATTTCCCAGGCATGATTGTAAGCATCGACTGCATGCACTGGTAGTAGAGGAATTACTCAACTACTTGGCAAGGAGATTATGAGAATATGAAGAACCAAAAAAGAATCATTCTTGAGGCCATTGCGTCATTTGATTGTGGAGGATGAGTATGATTATGATGCCCCTGAGTTGTTCGAACATGATCCCATGAACACTGACAGGACCTGCCCTGGATTCCTTGGAACCCGAGACGAATCACGTCGTATTTCCAGCATCTTACCAATGCCGAGTCCACTTACTAAGAACCGTCTCCCCTGTAAATTGGACATTTCCCAAAAAGTTCAACCTGTTAAAAAACATAGTTTACACATAATTGGCAGCACGCACAAGTTAACCATCAAGCAATTTACATACTAGGCCTTTGGCCTTTCAAAAATTAGAAGCAAAATCACCAGCAATGCCCTTAAGTCACAAAATGAAATTAAAGGATGCAATTAATGAACTCCAACTAATTTATACATGCCCATCGTAACTAACATATAATAACTTCCCAAATTCCCATCATGCGATGTTTAACAACTCAACACAATCGCAAGTAGATTAAGGACTTGGTCCAAGACGTTCAACAATCCAAAACGATTTCATATTTGACTTGACCACAACCACACTTTAACAATTCACTTAGTCGAACAGGAAAACGAATAATCAATAAATCAAGCCTTGCTGGGTCTTCTTCAAGATGGGCTGGAAGCAAAATTGGAAGCTGGGTATTCTTTAAAACTGTTAAATTAATTTACCAAGAATGGTAATTAACCTCTTTGAACAGAGTAGCCTTTTGAAACTGCCTAAAATTGATCTGGGCTTCTCCCCTGTTTTGGGTTGCTTTCCCTTTCTTTCAACATATCAAACAAGAACCGACCCAAGTGAAGTCTAGGATTGTGGGCTGCACAAAGCATCTGGGCTGGGCTCTCTTCTTATCTTGGGTTCACTTGGTAGCTCTTGAAATTGACTTTGGGGTTTATTTTTGAGCTGATCTCTTCCCTTCAAAACCCGAAACTGTTCATCATCATGGGCCGACAGATTCTAGGATGGGCTCTCTTCAATCTTGAAGCTAACTTGAGCCTTGGCTATGGGCTGGGCCCGCAAAGCTTGGAATAAATATGAGTTTTCTCGATTTTGGGCTCTATTCATCAAGCCCAAACCGTTTGGATTTTGAAGTTGATCTGCTATCATGGGCCAATAGTGTTGGGCTGGGTGTGCAGAATTTAGGCCCAAACAGATATCAAAACTGTCTTACTGTCAAAGTCTGTCAAAATATTCCGTTAAATTGAAGGGCAAAAAAGTAAAATATTATTTGAAAAACGGTTAATGACTAAAATGGTCCTCCAACTATTGTTCCAGTATCATTTTGGTTCACGAACTAAAATTTTCATTTCAACTGTCTTTCAACTCTTTTTTTTTTTTTTGGTATCAAGATGGTCCTATCGTCAAAGTCTATTAATTTTATTGTTAAATTGAGGGGTAATCCCACCATGTTGGTGGTGAGATTCAATTTTTTCAATTTTAAAATTAGGTACAAGTTCCTATAATAGTTACCTTTATTTTTTAATTATTGTTTACTCTTTTAAAAAATTTGTTATTTTATTTTTATATTTATGTGATTTTTTTTTAATTAATTTAAACAATAGAGAATTTTTTATATTAATTGTTAGGTGAGTCTCATGAAAAAAAAAGAAAAAAAAGCCATATGGCTGGTGAGATTCAATTTTTAAAAAATTTTCTAAGTTTTATAATAATTTTCTTTAATTTTTAATTATATATTATTATTTTAATTCATAGAGATATTTTTACCCCTCAATTTAACAATAAAATTGACAAACTTTAATGGTAGGACCATCTTGATACAAAAAAACAGTTGAAGACGGTTCAAATGAAAATTTTAGTTGATTGACCAAAATGATACTGAAGCAATACTTGGGAGACCATTTCAATCATTAACCCTAATCCAAACCAAGATGGACGGAAACTTTGTAACTTGGGCCTGGGTGGGTTTGTAGTACTTGAAAATAAAAATAAGATTAACTACACTTTAGTCCCTAGAGGTTTAGGGTCAGTTTCGAAATGAGCTCCGAGATTTCAATTTCATACTCAACGTATCCAAATATGACCAATTCACCCTGTCCGTTAGATTGACCATTTGGTCAAACATTAAATGTTGATGTGCCAACTGTGGGACCACCCACAGACCCTGACAATCCATTCCAACTTGTCCAAGTGAAGGGCATTTCTGAAATAAAATTAAAGAATAATTTATTTTTAAAATATATATTTTTTCAAACCCAAAAACCAAAATATTATTAAATAAGCAATTGATCGGCAGAAATGCCACGATCCCCAAGAAGCTCTCATTTGACCAATTGACTGGAGCTTCAGCGACAGTGAACTCAGATTTCCGTAAGTTCTCAGTGAAAGCAGCTATGGATGATTTCAGATCCAAATCATGCGGGAATGGAATGATGCAGATAGAGAGCTACTACGGCAATGGCTCGGGGCCCACTTCCTTCGGCGGCATCAATGGAATGCAAGATCTCAGGTGTTACAGTGCGTCCTCTGCGTCTTCGGTGCAGTCGCCGACCCAAACCCAGATGGGCAACTATGGCGATAGGTTCAAGAAGGGCAAGTCCACAAATGGGTATGCTTCGAAAAGCTGGAGCTTTAATGATCCGGAGCTGCTGAGAAAGAAGAGGGTCGCTAGCTATAAGGTTTATACTGTGGAAGGCAAGCTCAAAGGCTCTCTCAGGAAGAGCTTCAGGTGGGTCAAGGAAACCTGCAACAGAGTGGTCTATGGGCGGTAAATCATTTTTCTGAAATGCTTATCAGCAGTCAAAAGGCCATTTACCATGGGAAGACCTCCTAGTTCAAGACTATATATTCTTACTCTCCGATTGACCTCAAAACACCAACCAAGCTCTTCATAGCTTCAAGTTTCATGGTTGCCAATTGAGGCGGTAATAATGTGGTGGAATGTGGCAACACCAGGAGGGACACCATGGGCAGTTTTAAGAAGGCCATTTACCGCCCTCATCCACCAAAAAGTTTCAGAAAAACTCAAGAACAAAATTACTAGTATTCTCAAGAATTTTAAATCCAAAGAGTAAACTTTCCCAGTAAATCAGAGAAAAAAAAAATCAAAAATTTTTTTAAAAAATACACTGTTCACCACTTCACTGACTACAAATCCCAAACCCACCTCCAAAAAACTCAGAATTACCTAGACCCACTCTCTATTTCTCTCTTTCTCTTCCTCCCTCTCCCCCTCTCTTCGTCATCCCCACCCTCTTCCCTTTATTTCTCTCCTTTTGTGGCTCAATTGCATTGGATTGGACAAATTAGGTTTTTTAGGTTCGGGTAATTATGGATTTGGAGCAACAACTAATAGGGCTAGTGAGTTATTTGGTTCTGATTGTGAGGTTGATTTTGTTTTGGATGTTTGATTGTATTTTGGGTTGGGAAGGGCCTGGGATTGATTGGAGGAGGGGGGGTCTGTGGAGGGTCGACGAAGGGAGGATGGGAGATGGAGAGAAAGGGTTGCTAGAGCTGGGGAAATTTTTTTTTTTTTTTTGTTTAAGT